ATTTTGTAATGGAGTTTCATGAGCTCACACTGGTCAGCTATAACAACAGAACAGTTTCTGCTAGTACTGTACCCCTTGTCAGCCTTCACAAAAATAAAGCTGTAATAATGCACTTACCTGATCCTGCAGAAAAAGGATTTCACCTGGGCATATTCATATGGAGAAGCTAATAAGATGAGCACATTGAAAGTATCAGTTAATATCCTTCAAAAGGTCACACCTATCAGAACTGTTAAACTCTGCTCTTTCAGTTCTCCAAACTTTCTGAGCAAAACTGAAGTTTCACAACCTACTCTTTATTAGCTACTGAATTGTCTGTTCAACAGTCTGATCCCACCTCAAATGTTATCTCTCCTTTCTCTCAAAGTGAGAGTCCACTCTCTTAGAGAAATTGCTGACCTGGAACTAAATTCAAAGGAAATGCATAAGAAAAAAAAAAAAAGGAAACAAACAAATCAACCAACCAATCAATGTTCCAAAAAAACTTCCTCCAGTGCACCACTGTGAAAAGGAAAGGTAATATTTCCTGGCTTTATGAGCCAAGTACTAAAAACTCTATACAGACAAGAAAACCACAACTCCACTGGGGTGCCACTGCTCTGCTGGGTAGGCACATCACTGGCATCCAAGTTGTGGAATCCCTGGCATTCAAAACCTCCAGATGTCTCATATCCTTTGATACTAAGGACTTTGGACTTCTCAGAACTGATGCCAGAACAGCCCCATGTCAAGGTGGGCAAAAGACACAGCCTTGGACTGCAAGCTACGCGTGAGCTGCTCACAAATAACACAGGACTCAAAAGTCTCAGTTCAGACACATCCAGCACTAAATAGCAAATCAGCTTAAAACTTGGGTTTCATGAGCTGTGCTCACAGCAGGCAGTGAGGGGGCCACAAAGACAAAGCACCTAAGCAACCATAAGGTGTAGATTAAACAACTTCAAGCTCACAATCAGACTTACTTTCTTTTCAAAAAAGCAGCAGTATTTGGAATGAGTAAGATGATACATGAAACTATGAAGTATGTGCCTTTTATTTACCCCAAGTAAGAGTTAAGCCTTTAGGAGATTAGCTAGGACTGGTCCCACAGCCACTCCAGTTTTCAAAGTGGAAAGGAACAAATGAGGCTGATGCACATTGCATCTAAAATGAACTACTACTCTGTCCTCATTCTGCAAGGAAAGACACACAGAGCATTTAGAAGCATTGCCATGTCGCACCTGTCTGACTTTCCATGTTCCAAAGGGGCAGGTGAGACTGATCAGTGTGTGTGTAGAACACACTCACATCCTGAGGGACCAGCAACTCCACAAACCGGGAGGAGTCCAACACTTTCTTCTTACAGTTCAGAATAGATGCTGCCTGCTCAGAAATATGCACTATGCGTCCAGACAGCAAAGAAAATACAGCCACAAACGTGTCCTGGAAAACAAACATGAAAGGCAATCATTGCCTGAAACAAGGCAGTGATAACGTAAAGATAAAAAGGAAAACAACGCCAAAACAAACCTACCAACCCCAAACCACCACAACCTCAGACTGAGGTTCAAAAATGTCTTGGGTAGTGTGTGATCTACTACTCTCTCCAGCGCTGCAGCAGTGTACTCGAGATTTACAAATGCTAGTAAGACTGCATTAGTCTTCTCAAAACAGATTAATGCTTGTCTTTGCTCTGAATGACTGGTTATCACTCCACACACTCCTCCACAAATTTCAGAGGATTCATCACAATTCCATGCACAGAAACGTTCTGAGAGCTTTCCAATATTTTTTGTACTTTTTCAACATTAGCAATATTTTTGACACAGCACCCAACAGTACTGAATTTCAAGAAACACTTCTTTAAAGCAGAGTCAGAAAGCATAACATCTATTGCAAAACATGAAAAAAATTAAATGCAGAGTACAAATAGAAACCATAAGTCCCTCACAACTGTGAATCTGATTGGTTTTAAAAACTTGCTGCTATCTCAAGACATTACTCTGCTGTAAATGAATTCTCAAAGAGGTACTTGTTGTTTCTGGCCAAAAAAAATATAAAAAAGTTAGTATTTCTTCACTCACTATCATTGGGTACTGACACAGCACAGATAAGATGTAATCTTGATTTATCTTTAAAAACCTGAAGGTCTGTCTAGCTAAAATTTAAAGGCCTTTCAATTTTACACATTTTATTTCCACAAAACAATGTCAGAAGGCTAAATTTAGTGAAATTGAATGAACTCCTTGAGTGTGCCTGAATTCTTACAGTGTTTTTTGGAGTGTGTTCAGATGCAACTGCCACCAACTCTTCTATGCTGTATGTCACCACATCTGCCTGAAACACTCTTCGGTCATTCAGAGCCTGGAAAAAGTCATTGTTTGCTAATTGAAAAAAAAAAAAAACAAAACAGAAAAAGCAAAACAAACACAAGGAAGTCAGTAAGGAGACTACTTGGAAAATATTTCTTACAGCCCTTGTACTTTTGTCATCTTTTTGGTGAAGTCCAAGGTGAGTTGAGAAGGTCTGTGTAGTGACAAAGGGAAAAGGAATACTGATTATACTACTGGAGTAATCCCATTTTGTTACAGAATACAAGCATGAACAAGTAGTACAATTTTAGCTACTTAGTTCTGTGGGAAAACACAAACTAACCAATAATTTTTCAAAGTGGCATGGGAATACCATTTTTAAAATATAAAGTTACTATTGGGCACCTCTTAGTTATGGGACTGAAGAAAAGAGAAGCAGTAGGGGGTATCTCAACAGAAGAGATAACACTGTTGTTTAACAACAAAACTGGCAACAAAACTACAGTGCTTCAGAAAGTCAACTCTGCAGGGTAACTGGAATGCATTCTTTTAATGCTACTTGTTGCCAGACACATCTATGCACACCGTGCTGTTGTGCCAGGCTTTCTCCACACGTACCTTGGACCTGCTGGACACACTGCAAGGCATAGTTGAGAGCACTGATGGTACTGGGCTTGTTAGAAATCCTTTTCTCTTCAGGCAAACACCTTTTCATTTCTTGGATCATCATCATCATATCTCTGTGTGACTGGCTCCAATTCAGCTGCTCACTGTAAAACAGAGGTTAAACTTCACCAGAGAATTCTGGTGTCCATTTTTTTTATTACTACCGAATTAAAATTACTCCCTAAACTAACATTTTATGGGAATGGCTGCAGAGTCATGTAATATCCAGGTATGTCCTAATACTCATTCACTAAATTTCCTGTTGTATCTTTCTCACTTCTTTGCAATTGAAGTTCTTCTTCTCTACCTTCCCCCTTCCCAACTCCATGTCATGGATGGCAAAGTCATATTGAAACCACTCAGCTTGCTAAGATGCCTAGCAACTAAACATAAGATGATGTTTACTCTAGATTTGCTAAATAACACAGGTATTAAAATAATTAATAAATGCTTATTCTGGATCTCGCTAAGGTTTTCTAGCCTTGAAGGCTGTACCTGGTTATAAGCATCTCAGGGAACCATGAGGTCCTCAAAATACACCTGATGCAAAGATGTCATGCCTCGTGACTTCAGAGTCCTCGTCATACTTTTTAGCTGTTGACTTCAACAGCAGCAGAACGGTTAACAGATAAAATCTCCCTCTCCTCACATTTGCTTATTTCACGGACTGAAAAATAAGCAGTCAATATCCTCAAATCACAGATTCTAATCCTACAGATGAAATATGAGCCCCATTTTCTTAGTAACTTTTCCAGTCGACAGTGTCATTAGTAACGTACTCTTACTATATAAATCATTACATAAGTGTAAGTATTGCGTGGTAACTTCACAAGCCTGTCCAACGCTGCATACATTAGAGCCCTTTAACTCTTCATTAGATTAAAAAAATAAATTAGCAAATTTCCGAATCTCACGAAAAACGTTATTTCGGTAATTTCTGTTTTGGTACTGCTAAACAGTCTTTAGCTGAAGCACCCATCTCAGCTACCCGAGGGTCGCTGGCGCGCCCGGCTCAGCCGCTCTCAGGAGGAGGCACAGCTCCCCGGAGCTCACCGCACCCGCACCCGCCGCGGCCCGTGACCGCGGAGCCCCGCGGCGGCCGGGCCCGAGCGGCGCCCCGGCTGCCCGCTCCCCACCGAGCGCATCCCGCCCGCTGCCCGAGTACCTGTTGGCTTTTTCGGCGACCGGGCCGCCGCCGGACTCGGGGCTGTGCAGCTCTGTCCCGCCGGGGCCGCTTCCCGCGCACGCCGCGCACCGAGCGCCCGCAGCCCCCCCGGGCGCCGCCGCCGCCTCCCGCCCGGCCCCGGCCCAGGCCCGAGCCGCGCCGTGCTCCGCGCTGCCGCCTCGGCGCTCGCTCGCGTCCATCCCGGATCCGCTGAGCGCCGCAGCACGGGGGGCATCGGCTGCCACGGCACCTGGGCACGGCCGGACCCTCGGCCTGCGCTACGAGCGCCGGTGCTGCAGGGAGAGCACGCGCCGCCTCACGGGACGGTGGGAGGAGCGGTGCCCCCCCTTTCCACCGAGCCGAGCGGGCACCGGGGCGCTCCCGCGCCGCTCCCCGCCGCGCGCCCCCTCAGCTCGCAGCCGCCCAGCGCGAAAGGGCCCCGCGGCCTCCGCTCGGCCTTCCCGCCCCTCCGAGGCCGCGCCTCTCCCGCCGACCCCAGGCTGTCCCCGCTCCGGGCCGGGAGCGCCCTGAGGGGCCGCGCCCCCGCCCCGCGCCGTTACGTAACGCGGCGCACGCGGCGGCCCCGCTCCCACACACCCGCGCCACGTGCGCCGCGCCCCGCGGACAGAGGAGGAGGCGGAGGCGGAGTCGGAGCCGCTTTATTGGAGGAAACCGCGCGCGGGGGGCGGGGCCCGCGCGGGCGGAGGCGCCGCCCCGCCCCTCACGCGGCGATGCACGCGGCCCCCGTGCGCGCGCATGCCCCGCCGCCACGTGCGGCGCCGGCCACGCCTCTGGGCGTGGTCGGGCGAGGGGCGGGGCCGAGTGGGCGGGGCCCGGGCCGGGCCGTGGAGGCACCGTGCGAGCGGAGAGCTCTGCTGGTTAGTAATTAATGACAGGAGTGTCTTAAGGCGACCAGTAAAGTTAGTTAACGTCTCGATAATCAAAATAGGTTTGCTTTAAACAGCAGTAAACGGGCTGAGAAGGCAGCAGGTTTGAAGTGGAGAGGCTGAAGAAGATTCTCAAAGGCACCTTCAGTTGAATTGAGTTTCTTCTTGTAATTCATGAATATGCTCTCCAGACTACAAAAAGAAGAAAAAGGTTGGACGATGTCCTTCAGCCCCTCACCATAACAATCCTGCCTTTTAGGAATTTGAGATAATAGAGATAAATCCCTCTTAAATGCCTTAAATCTAAGAATTTGCCCATGTTGGTGTTCTTAGTTGTATTTTCCCTTGTGCTTGCACACCAGGACTGTGTCTCAGATGTCACTGGTTACTGCTGTTTGTTACTGTTACAACACATACTTAAAAACTTTGTCTTCCCCTTAAACCCTTGGCCATTACCTGAGGACTCAAAGACTGAGCCATCCCACACCTGGCTCTCTATCCTAATCCAACGTTAGTCTCATTTCACCCGGCAGCCAAACCTCTGCTCAAAGCCTCCCGGGCAGGGCAGTGCACTCCTAACTGCCACAAAAAAGCAGGAAGAAGGCAGACGATAACAGTTCTCAGACAAGGACAGTGTGTGGAATCTCATGTTACACTTCCGCAGCAGGCAGCTGTAAATAAACCCAGGTCTGCTCCTGGTTTCCAAGCCCTTGCTATTTTCACTTTCACCTTTGTCACCCTCACTGCTGGTGGAGATGCCAGTACTGGAGCTCCCACGTTATCACAGTCTGCCACTCACTGCATGCAATTGCTGTTAAATCCATCACTGCTGTTTCAAATTCATGTTGGATATACTTCCATCTGAGCACCCTGCCTTTGCTGAAACTGTATTAATCAGCAGATTAACACTGTCAATTCCAAATCTAGCAGAAATCCCCGTTTTGGTCCAACTTACCAATAATGATGATGATGATAATGACAACAACACCTATCAATATTGCCCACATCTGTGAAAAGAAGGCATACAACACTTACTCCACACCATGCAACAGCACCAAGTGCCCCTCAGGGTACAGGAAAACAGCCCCTGCAAGGGACTTTGAGCTCTGTGTGTCAGATCTAACGTGGCAAGCAAAGGTTCTTCAGTCAGCAAGCTCAATCCACTGCTAGCACTCAGAGATGGCAGGCCATGCACACAGGCAAACACAGCAATATGGTTTTCTCCCCATAAAGCCTGTCCCAAGTGAATGCACAAGCTGTTCTGTTACTCACCAAAGATGATTCCAACCTTTGGCAACAGCTACAAGTACAGGAGTCTGGGTGAGCTTCTTCCACTTTCTAGTGCTTCCCACACATTAATTCAAGCTATGCATTTTTAGCCTTTTCCTCTTGTTTCTCAAAGCCTCAGATTACTGACATGCTTCCCCTCTGGCCATCATCAGATAAGATCCTGCCTGGGGCAGCACGGCCAGTAACACAGCTGCTTGTTACTTCAAAAAGTGACGCCATGCTTTAAAAACTAGATGCTGTGACTTAAAAACCATTGGCTAAACGCTTTCTGCCTTCTGAGACACAAACTGTGACAGTGTCCCAGGCACAGTGCAAGCACACAAGCCAAGGTTACCTTGCAGTTCTTCCACCAGTACTTCCTCTTCAGCTTGGCCGCGCTGGTCTCGAACTGGGAAGCCCCTGCTTGCAGGGCATCAGCTCGGTCATCCAGCTCTGACAGCTTCTGATCCCGCTCCAGGACCTTGTCCACGTTCACCCTCATGATGTCAACAACCTGCAGCATTCAGTGCTCACAGTAAGTGACCACACAGTGCAACACGACCACAGACAGCACACAGCTCCACAAGGTACTCCACGTTTTCTCAGAAGCAGGAGCTATTGCCTTTTAGTACATCCAGCCATAAGCTTAAAGAAAACTATGAGATCCACCTGTGGCTAGAAGCCCTGAATGGCTACTTTAAAAAGTCAGTAGTGCTGGCATGCCTTCAAGCCTGGGAAATAATTCCTGACTTGTTTCAGAAGGAGTTGAGGAATATAAACATGACGCCAAGAAATACTTGCCAGCCACCCTGGCTTTTGGATTCCACAAAAATCACATTTGGTAGCCAGCTCTCATGGCTACTGATGAGAAAAAAGCTTATTCTCTGTAAACAAAGGTTTTTGTCTTTACTTATGCCTACTCCTCAAGCACCAAGACTGCAGCTCATGTTTGGATACTGGCAACCTCTCTTTGCTTCCCCTTCACATAATGAAGGGAAAACTGCTTTGGAAAAAAATATCCCTTCTAACTGCACAGGTTTCCTGCAAGAAGAGGTTGACACTACTACCAGACCAGACTTTTACCTCATCTACTTGGTGCTGAGTTTGCTGAAGCCGGCGGTTGCTGCCAGCAGCCATGTTTGAGCTTCCAGGGACATTGGCCGACCTGCAGGAAAGAAAGGCATCATTACACATCTGAAAACTGGGAACTTGTATCCTTGTAATAAACACAGGGCAGTTTCTTATGGGAGAAATTGTGTTTTAGCAGCTGACAGTGGGTGCAAGTCATGCAGTGTCCCAAACATCTTGTCAACAAATTGCTGCTGTGCTAAGAGGCAGCAGTGGCTTGCTAACACCACGCCTGGCAATGAGGCAGGGCCAGCTCCAACAGTGCTCCAGAGGCCTCAAGGAGTGAGCAGTGTGGGATCAGTAGTTTACAAAAAAATAAATAAAAATATTAATACTTATTCTAACTATGTGATTTTCCAGCGATGCTTCTCTATTCTTTTGAAATGGTTGATATGGACCAAGAGAAAGCACCAGAAGGAAAAAGTATTACCTTTGGTCAGCTTTGAATTTGTAACAGAGTTCTTTTTATCAGCTACTCTGCATTTTTAAAATGGACACAACAGCTTCTGTAAATACTCCTCACTACCTTTTCACCATCCAGCCAGTTTTTAATGTGTATCTCTAGAACTATCAGCACTCAATTTCCTCTTCCATGTTCTTGCTTCTTTCACATCAGATGCTTGTTTTTTGCATCCTGGCACTCCAAACAGCCAGCTCCGACTGTTTCCTGTGTGTACACATTTACACATTGGATTCTAACTTGCACGTAACGAGTACAGGCACACGGCGGGAGCCAGGGCAAGGCTCAGAGCCGGCCCCGCACGGCTCAGTGTCCGTTTCGGCGCTGCCGCCACCCTTCGGAGCCGCTTCAGTGCCAGTCCCAGGTGAAAGCCTCGGAAATGACAGCGCTTCCTGCGAGCTTCCAAACGGAGCAACGCCCCGGTGCCCGGCAGGGCTGTCCCGGCAGGGCGGGCCCCGCTCGGAGCCGCGCCCGGGGCTGGCGGGACAGCCAGGCCTGCGCAGCCCCGGCCGGCGCCCGCTCCCGGCCCGAGCAGCGGCTCAGGCGGGGCGGCCCCACGGGCCGGGCCGGGCCGGGCCCTGCTCCCGCCGCCGCGCCCGCCCCGCTCCCCAGATCCCCGCGCCCGGCCCGCACTCACATCCTGGCGGAGGGACGAGAGCGGGGCCGCGGCGCGGGACCTGGGGCGGGGCCGGGCCATGGCCGTGCCCCCGCAGGCGGCGGTCGGGGGCTGCGGCCGCTGGGGGGCGCTGTGTCGGCCCTGCCCGGGAACGGGAACGGAGAGAGCGGCCGAGCACGGACACACGGACACACGGACACAGACATGGGGACACAGACACGGGGACACAGACATACGGACAGACAGACACGCTGACACGGGCACGGACACCCGGGCTCACGGAGACTCACGCACACGGACAGACAGACGTGGGCAGTCTCGCACACACAGCCACAGCCACAGCCACGTGCATTCCGTCGCGCTGTCACTCGTGTCCCCGCGCTCCGTGCAGCGCACGGGGGCGGGAGTGTGCTTGTCCTTGTCCTTATCATTGTCCTTGTCTCTTTGTCTTTATCCTTGTCCTTGGCATTGCCCTTGTCATTGTCCTTGTGTTTATCCTTGTCCTTGTTCCCGCCCTGGCTCCCGGGGTGCCCGGCGGGATCCCCGCTCCCGCTGCCCGGTCCCGGCGGGGCCGGAGCCGCTCGCTGCTCCCCGGCGGCCGCACGGTGCTGTCGGTGACCGGAGCAGCCGCTCTGCCGGTCACCCGCAGGAGCCCGGGGCTGCTCCGCCAGGGAACACCGGCCCCGGCGGGGCACCGGGGGTAGGGAGGCACCGGCGGCCTTTGCACCACGTGCTCTGCGTTATCTTTTCTTTTCCCCCCTTATTAAACTTTATCTCACCCCGGGCATTTTCCCCCTCATGTTTGGTCTTCCAGTTCTCTCCCGCCAGGCCCCGGGATAAGGGAGGAGGTGCCTTCCTTCAGCACCGGGTCAACCTGCCACGACGGGGAAGGACCCAGCAATTAACAGCCACGTAAGATGGAAAAATGGGAGCAATTTGCAGAGTTAAATGCTGATTTATTCTAAAACAGAAACATAATTTAACTTTCTCTGCAAGAAGAAACTCTCTTATTGAAATCTCGTCCTCAGTTGTGGAGCTGGGTTTCGGAAGAGCTTACTCATAATGGCACTAACACGGTCTCTGATAACCAGATTAATTTATTAATTATTAAACCTGCTTTCAGGTTTTGCCTGCTGGGCTGGCCATGTAGTCTGGTCCAAGATTTGTTCTCGAGGACCAGCTCATGTAAGTGCCATATTTGATTAGTGCAGTAGTTACTGTGTCTCAGTTAATTGTATCACCAAATGTGACCTGAGTTTTCTGCATCAGCAGCCCTCTTGAATTCCGCCGTTTGACTCTGCCTCGTGTACACTGCAGGATTAAGCATTTTGATTCCAGCTCTATATGGTTTCTCACCAAAAACCCTGGAAGTGATTGCCCATTGAAGAGGAACTGCAAACAAAGCTCTGGGGGCTGCACCTGCTCGGGCAGGCTGGGGACTGTCACATCGTAACCCCTAAGAAATCAGATGCAGAATTCTTACCAGCAGGTTGTGTAGAAACTTTTTTTTGTGATTTCTTAGAGTAACTAAAGGACTACTTTGCTCTCAAAGTAGGATGGAAGAGATGTGTTCAGGAGAGACGTGTTCAGAAGAAGGCAGACACTTTGTATGGGGAAATTTTCTTTTTTAATTTACAGCAGAAAGAATATAAAGCATTCAGAAAACATTTTCCATATTTTAAGGGCAATTCAAAACATTTTGCATGGTTCCAGCAGCTGAGTTCTTCAACAGATCCATTGATTCAGTGATGCTTTACATGCACAGTTACAAAAATAAAACTTACAAAAGAGAAGACATCTATACTAGTTTTACATGCAAGTCTTGGGGACCCCCCATTGGGCACCAGCTATTGTGTGGAACTGCCATAAGCGTGCAACCAGAGAGGGGGTTCATGTTATATTCTGTATTTCTTTCACACAGTATTACTGCTGTCGAATGTGTTTCACAAAGGAGCGATTCTATTCTCAGAAGACAGAAGATCTGGCTCCTGGCACTTGGGAATTTGAATTTTCCTAGAAAGCTGCACTTACTTATCTTAGGTGAAAATGTTAAGTTCCACAACCAAGAAGAGGGTTCGAAGAATCACTTCACTGCGGGGGAGTGCTGCTCCCTCCGCAGGGACACACTGAAGGGTTACGGCCCGACACAACAAAGCACTTGGGAGCTGCCCTGGCTGCAGGCGTGCCAGGAGTCCTGCAGCGGTGCTGCACAACTGCCCGCACGCTTCACAGCCAGCACAGCCTTAAACGTTTGGCTGAAGCAGGATCTGGATTAGTAGATACACCACCAGGCCCATGGATCTGGAAGAGTAATTTGAAATAGCTCTGTATATTACTGAATCGTTTGCTGTAAAGACAAGGAGTTAAAACGTTTCCACTGAGGTCACTACTCTTGTTAGGAACAGATCAATTCTATATTGTCACGTATTGGTTAATGGGTGCAATATTTCAGTTTCAAAATGTCAAGAGTTCTTCCAGTACTAATACAGAGCATTTCCAATTCGTTCCAAAGGAGATTCTTCAGCGTCTCCTGTTCTGTTTTGGCGTGAGAGGAAAATCTAATGGTCAAGGTTCCAATTGCAGACAGAAAATCAGGCTACGAGGCTGCCCACAGGCACAGTGCGAGCGCCAGGCCATTTGTTTTGCTTTTTTTCCCTTTTTTTAAAATTGAATCAGGTCATAAAGCAGCAGTTCAGAAATGTACAAGAGAATTCTGATAATGAGCTATAGCACATCTACTGTAATTCAATGCTGGCAGTGAAAAGAAGTAATTAAAAACAGGTACAATTATAGAAAAGGCACCAAGAGCACTGACCCCAGTTTTTTTGCCACAATCTTTGTTTTTACTCTTCTTTTAAAGACACCAGTTTCAAAGCTTCCTATGTGTGAATATTTTTTGGCTTCACAACAAGCCTTGCGTTTAAACATTGCAGTTGGTGGCCGGGATCAAGCAAGAACAACTATTCCAAAACTAACAATCTCAAATTTACACAAGTTCATTCAGAAATTTTAAACTGCCACGAGCGAGACAAACAGACAGGAGCAGTTTCTGATCTCAGACACATGTACGTGACCCACAAGTAATGACACGGACTTCAGGAGTTTCTTCCCTTACATTCCTGTGTAATGAAGATCAGAACTGGTTCCCATTGTTGAGAATCTGTGACAGTTTTAAATTAGTAGCTCAATTTTAAAAAAATCTAATTTCTTTGGCTCCTCACTATGTGGAAATAGCAATATACCATGACACCCCTACAGGATCAGTTTGCATCTTTTTTTTTTTTTTAAGTTTTACTTAATTTTTTAAAATTTTTTGTGCAATTTTTATTACATTTTCTGACTTCCAGCAGGAGATATGAAAATGTGAAACATATTTTCTACTTTCGTACTATTTATTTATTTTTTTTCATTTTATGTTCATTCTAAGTGTTCTTTATTGGAGTGAGTGTATGGTGTTAAGCTAGATACGGTTTTTGTACTCTTATGATTATCTGCTTTGCAAAAGTAACTTAATTTTCTTAAGCAATATTAGCATTCACATTACTTGGCACCATTGGCAAAAAAAAAAAAAAGAAAAAAAAAAAAAGACGGGGGTAAAAAAAAAAGAAGGAAGGAATTTATAAATTAAACCCAACTGAACCAAACTCCTGGTAGCCAAAATCAAATGTAAACATATCCTTTTTTTCTTTTTTTTTTTTTTTTTTTTAAAGTAATGTTGCTCTGCCTTTTTTTTCCTAAGTCTAAATACAGTAGCTCTTTTTTGCCATTTAGTCATGCTTTAGCAAAAATGTTCTTCTAAAGAACATTTAAAATAAAGTTTCTTATAGTGAAATAAAGTTTTTGTTTCATTTTACAGACCATAGCCACTAATGCTTTGCTTTGTTCATTTCTTTTTCTTGAGTTCATGCACATATCTCTTTAATATATACAATATGTACAAACAATACATCCACACTCTTCTCGTTCATTCAGACAAAACTATACAAATAATAATTTTATCTTGCCAAGTTATTGACCCTTTGTGAATAAAATATTTAGTAATTAATCAATATATTCCCTTTCAAATATTTTTTTCTCATTTTCCATTTCTACCTTCTATATATACAGAAACTGCCCAGATTTTGATGAAGTAGCCAAAATAAGAAATTTACTGGCCAGAATGCAGCACCACTGATCTTTAGGTGGCATAAAATGTCCAGGCAACATATGTTCGTGACTGCAAAATGACAAGAGGTTTGACAAGTACATAAGAGAAAAAGCTACATGTTTTACAAATTATTTGAGAACTTAATTAAAACAATAGTACATGAAGGTAAGGCTAGAAAATAAAGTGCTGAATATGAGAGAAAGTACATGACAGTTGATATGTTTGCAGGTTCTAGTAAAAATACAAAAAAAAAAAAAGTGTAAAACTTGCTTAAGCTGCTCTCTCCATTCCTCATGCAATACCCGTGTCTCTCATACACCAAACCCCTCCTGTAAGTTCCCACGGGATGTATTAAAAACCTGCAGATTTAAAAAGTTGCATTAAGTGTGCTGTAGAGGTTTAAATAAAACACAAAGGACAGGAGTGCGAAGGAAATGAGGATGCATGGACCCAATAAAGATGTACTGATCTAAGCCCCTCCACTGAGACTCTCAAAGCTTCAGTTTCTTGGAGATGACTGACAGGTGCAGGAACAGCATTCTTGTGTTGCTTGTGCATTCCCACCTTTTCTGAACAATATTTTTGGTATAATATTTGTACAGTTCCACATGTTGTTTAATACAGCCCTATATGAAAAGGATAATTAATCGCTTCTTCCTTCCTCCTCGGAGAATGAAGCAACTCACAATTTCCTCCTGGTGTCTTGTTTTCCCCACGATCCAACAGAAGATTGAGTTCCAAGATGTCTTGCTGAACAAATTAAAAGTTGTCCATGAAAGTGCAAATGCAATGACCAAAACATTACTGTTAAAATCCTGCAGCTGGTATTTCCAGAACTGCAGTGGGTATTTTTGTTGTTGTTGCATGTCTCTGCTAAAAACAGAAAATGAAAACAGTCTGAAAAGCAATGTCACATTGCTACGGGATGCTGCTGCGTATCTTCAAGTTCCTTGGCCTTTTTCAATTCTTTCACTCTGAAAAAACAAAGAGGAGCTATGTAACACTTCTACACCACATCTCTTGAAGACAGAACAATCAAAAGGATTCATCACTCCAGCCTCCCGTGCAGAAGAGGCAGCTCCCAGAGACACGACAGGAAGGCAACACCTTCCCAACACCATAAACAGTTGGAAGCGCAAGAACGGGCCACTGGAGATCCCAGACAAACACCTTTGGAGAGACACACTTGGTTCCACTGCTTTTCCCAGTACTGGCAACTACAGCTGGGCTTCCTTCTGGTGTCAGCCTGAGTGCTTGGGGTTCCCTGGACTGCTGGTCCCCTCCTGACCCTGCAGCTGCTCACACCAAAGGGGCTGCTCAGCGCTGACCCTTTTCTCCACACAGTGCTCAGGGAGTGACAGCACAGTGGGGGAAAATCAGCCTGTCCAGCTTGGAAAGGAAGCCTGGAGTTTATTGAGAGCCTCACAGAAGAAAGTGTTTATGTACAAGCACAAGAACTGGTATGGGTGTGAAGAAAGGCGCTTTGTTTCACGAGCACTCCAGCTGCTGTGCCCCTGTGTTTTATCATGCTGTTGGCAGCAGGTTTGGTGTCATCCCAGCAGTGCAGGATGCTGGATGCTGTGTGCCAAGGGAGATGAACCTACAGTGTGGAAGTCACTCTTCCTAGATGTGGCCAGTTCTCAACTTTCCAAAAGGCACGCCATACATTACCTCCTCTAACTCATCAACTCAAGAACTAAACCATCACTGAAAGCTGAAAGAGTTAAAAATTAAATTAAAGGGTGAAAAGAAGGGAATAATTTCAATCCCATCAAATGAAACAGAGCTCTGCACTGGAGCTGGGGCAGCAGGAAACCTTGTACTCAGGCTGAGAACCTGGCTGTGTGCAGTGCAAAGGAGCCAGACCAAATCCAAAGGCATTCCTGTGCTGCCCAGCTGTGCTTGGGGCTGGCTCTGCCTCCGCTTGCAGGGAGTTCCTCTGCAGTGAGACCCCTTTCCCACCTGCCTCCATGTGTCTTCCCTCTGCTCCTGCAAGGGGAAGTCCCCTGTAAAAGGAGCAGATTACAGCAAAAAAAAAAAGTGATTTAGCTAAGCGTGTATAAGCTCAAGTGCTCATGTGATGCTGCAAAAACTTGAAATGACAAGTAACAAAGGTATAGTACAAAAAATAAATAGTGTCAGAGATGCAAGTCTGCGTAATGCAACCAGCTACAAGTGAAAGAATGTAACAAAGCCCAAGTAAATAAAAGTAAGAAAACATGTCAGGAGAGCTGAGCAGCAGCAGTGACAGTTTGTAGCTACTGTGCACAGACTTACACCCACACATCTTTTGGCTCTTGCACCAGCCTGCTAATGTAAGGACAGAATGAAGGCTATAAATGGATCTCTATAAATACACCTCCATTTCACCATTTTATTTATTCATTTTTCTGCATGTACTATTAGTCAGAACCACAGTGAAAAGGGAGCTGTCTGCTTTGACTTTTGTTTTAGCTGACTCAAAGGCTCCAGCACTCAAATGCATTCTCAGTATTTGTGAAATGTGGCCAACAGGGACCAAATCAGACTAACCTGTATGCAGGGTAGACCTTTGTTAATTATCCTAATTTCAATATCCTGGAGAATATAATGTATGGAAAGACAGGGGGCTCTGCTAGCCAAGTGCACACGGTGTGTTCAGAGTCTGAGGGCACTGACATTGCTGAAATCCGAGCCCAGCAGGCTCTCCCAGGTGCCAAGCAGCGCTCTGGTCCCAGGCTGAGGAAGGGACAAGGAGCCAACAGCACCAGGGGTTCTCAGTTCCTGCCTGGACAGTGCCATGCTGAGCCTGACTGCTGCTACAGCTTTACAGAGAATCTTCTACAGGAACATTTTGGCTCTACACAAGCTGGTGTCTAAAAGAGCCTGTTGACATCAAGAGAGTGGAGGCTTCAGCACGGCGCAGAAGGCAGCAACAAGCCTCTAAGTTTGTTCTCTAAGAGTTCTAAGTTCACTGGGGTTCTTCATGCTGGGTACAGCCAGATCCCCTTTTCATTGCAGGAAACACAGGAGGGCTGACACAGTAAGCCAAAACAGTGACAAATGACAAGTTACTCATATCCAGTATATCTACTTTTATTTTCTTGGTGAAGAAAAGCAGCCTCTCCCTTGAATTTTTAATTAGCATTTCTAGTAGTGCACCATTTAGAAGCAGGAGAGCCAGAATCCCTGGTGCTGTGCTAGAAAAGATGTTGTGCCTCTGTGCAATGGACAAATTTTAAAGCTTAGGTTAGCTGTGTTTAAGGTACCATCAATTAACGCATGATTTGCAGTGCAACTTCCAAGTGTTTTCTGTTGCACTTCAGTACTGTAATGTAAAATTAACCTGTTATTACAGATCTCTCACTGAGAACATGCACATTAAATAAGCTGGTGGCTCTTTCACTGAGACATGCTATTCCTTACTTTAGCACTTCACATGCAAGGGCTACACTAACGAAGCACTTTCACTGGAAGAATGCAAGACATGCTTTGCTGCAAACTTCAACCTACAGCATGCAATATCTGTACTGGTGCACAACTATTGCATCTGTTTGCCTGGAACACACATGCCAACAGGAGTTAATTACTGCAGCACTTAGCATTTGCACTGAAACAGGTCCTGGTTCAGAAACAGAGAATCACAGAATCATAGAACATAAAGGGTTGGAAGGGACCTAGAAGATCTTCTAGCCCCAGCTCCCCTGCCATGGGCAGGGACACCTTCCACTATGCCAGGGTGCTCAAGGCCATATCCAACCTGCCCTTGAACATTTCCAGGGATGGGGCAGCCACAGCTCCTCTGGTAACTTATTCCAGTGTCTCATAATCCTCACAGAAAAAAATTTCTTCTTAATATCTAAACTAAAATCCCCCTTTTTCATTTTGTATAAATTACCTCTCACCCTATCACTACAGTTCTGGATGAAAAGTCCCTTCTAGGTTCCCTGTAGCACCCTCCACACACTGAAAGTGCTGTGAGGTCTCCACACAAGCTCTTCTTCTCCAGGCTGAGCAGCCCCAACTTTCTCAGCCTGTCTTTGCAGGGGAGGTGCTCCAGTCCTCTCCTATCAACTTCATGGCATCCTTTGGACTTGCTCCAACAGTTCCATGTCCTTCTTTTGCTGGGGACACCAGAACTGTGTGCAGGACTGACAAGAGCAGAGGGTGAGAATCCCCTCCTTCCCAGCTGGCCATGCTCCTCTGGATGCAGCCCAGGACACAACTGGTTTCTGGGCTGGGAGCACTCAGTGCCAGCTCATGGGGCGTTTTTCATCAACCACAACCCAAGTTTTTCTCCACGGGGCTGTTTTCCATCACTTCTCCACCCAACCTGTCTGTGTATGTGGATTCCCCAGACCCAGGTGTAGGACCTTGCACTTTACTTTGTCCCTGAGGTTTGCACAGTCCCACCTCTCCAGCCTGTGCAGGTCCCTCTGGATCCACCCCTTCCCTCCCACACAGCTCAGTGAGGTCAGCAAACTCACTGAGGGTGCCCTCAATCCCCCTGCCCATGATGTTGAACAGTAGCAGCCCCACTGCTGACCCCACTCATCACTGGCCTCCACGTGGACCATAAACCACTGACCACAGCTCTTTGCATGTGGCCAACCAGCCAGTTCTTCATCCACCCATCCTCAAAACCACGTCCCTCCAATTTAGAGACAAGGATGTCATACAGGACAGTGTCAAACACTTTGCATTTGCAACGCTTTCCTTGGTCAGGTGGGATTAACATCATTTACATGCAGGTGTAATAACTACTACTACTACTAATAACAAAGACACAAAAGAGTACAGAACTTCCCTAAGGGTATGAACTGAAATCTGCCACAGGTGCATTACTGAAAGATGCTATTTAGTATATAATGGCTTAAAACAAACCCTGCATTCCACAGCATTTACACACTTAGGCCTCAAGATGATAACCACCCAAATTCACTAAGCTACCATATTTTCTTTATTAACCAGTCTCTGTTCAATGCAATAGTGTGTGTGTCCCACTGCAGCTGGGAGTGCAGGTAGGTACTGTGAGTCCTTTATTCCATTAACACACTGCCTGGTAGATTTGGAAACTTGCAGTCTGCAGCTGTCAGTCTCTCCTCCTCTCTCCAGAGCTGGCCCTGGGATGCCAGGGAAGTTCTTCCTTCTCCTTGGCAGCTGGTACAGGGCAGCCCTGCTCACCACGGGCTCTGCAGCAGGCACAGCCAAGTGAACTGAAATACCTCCAAATGTTACCAAAAATGGAACCAGCCCAAGGCCAGAGTGTCACTGGGGAAGCTCTGAGGTGTTATTGTGAACCCCATGCTGCTTCCTCAAACCATGATGAGCAGGAGGTGCCAGAACCAGTGCATGCACCAAGGTAATCATTATCTGAAATGCTTTGTCAAGAGAACCTAAAAATAATTGTCTTCAACCAATGCTTTTCTTTCTTGGATAGCCTGCACTGCAGGCTGTGTCTTAGAAGTCCTTTCAGTCCTTTCTTAACTCTTCTTGAGTTTCTCACTCAGTGGCACTTGGTTTGGTTACAACAGTGGCAGGGACTGGTATTTCCTCTTCATTAATACTTAGTGTAATAAACCCTCAACATTTTCAACTGCAGTTAAAAAATACAGGTTGACCAGGGAAGAATTTTGGACAAATCAGGACCCTTGAGAATAGAAATCCCTTGAGTAAGTGCTGCTAGGAGAGATTTTAAGTGAACAGTATAGCACTGCCTTCATGCTGTAAGGCAATCTTCTTTGGTTGACGTTTTTCCAGCCTTAAACTGAGCAGGGAAGAGAACCAAAGTGTAGCATTTGCAGTTACAAGCATTAACAAACTGTTGCAAGGAAAAGAACACTACTGGGATTTATAGAATTGAACAGCAGAAAGAATGTTCTTAGAGAAGATGTTTCAACCCAGTTTGGTAGACTTGCAGGGAGACTTTTTTTTTAAACAACAGAGGAAATGAGGGCAATGAAAGTGACAGCAGCAGGCCAGGTGCTGCTGGATGGTGTGCAACCTCTCCAGGAGTCTACAAGCACTGTCACATTGGCTTGGATCACTTCTGGGAGTGCCTCCCTGAGCTGAATGAGGGCTGGAGTGAGGACAGCTCAAGTGATGCCCAGCTGCGAGTGGAGCACCCCAGAATGGGAAACAGGCCCTGACTTTTGCAGGTCTCCAAACAAAAAGCACCATCCTATGCCAACAGCTCTGGAACCATGCACAAAACTGCAAGTATTGTACATCTGATTTTGCACTGGTGAAGCCTTGAACAAACACCTCCCCAAATAACATATTCTCCAGACAGTAAGCGCTTCTAAGGCACAAAGTTATTCCCTCTGCAAGTGCTGAAGAGCAGATGGAAGGAAAAAGCACGTGCAATAGAGATGACCACTGCTAAGGTGTCTGAAATCACAGCCGTGATGCTGACATACACAGAGGGAAGAGAAGATGATTTCAAACATGAGCTTTGAACCCTGACTCTTGGGAGATACATCCTGGCTCCCAAACTGCTCCAGCCAGTCAAAGTTTCTGCCCCTCACACCTTGCTGCTCACTTGGACAGAGTACAGGGGGTGCATCAGTATGTGCTGAAGCAATGTAGTAAGCAACAGCCCCAGCGAGTGGCAGCTCCTCTCCCCAAGCCCTCCCCAGTCCTGTACAGCTGTCAGCAGATGAACCAGCCCTACTCAGAAAAGGTCACAGCAAACAATGGCTTCATGGGTAAAGCATAACACAAAGCTGCTCCACCAGAGTGACTCCGGAATGCCCAGCCAGGGAAATGCTGAATGAGTCCAAATGCTGAAGATCAGTTTACAGGACAGGGTGCAAGAGCCAGAGAAGGCTGGCTGGCGAGTTACCTGTTGCTCTGAGAGCTGAACTGGCCTGTGGGATATTTAAGACAAGGGAGATCTTGCCTTTTTCCAGATACCTCATTTAGGCAGCAAAACAAAAAAGACAGAAAGGCCCAATAAGAACGACACCCCAGAGCACGCAGTCTGCAATTTAATACACACATCTGAGCTCCAAACACATTCAGCCCCTGCAAGAGGTAAATGAAAAAAGAAATTACTTTGAAAACTTTTGTTGCAGGTACAGTGACGCATATCCCGGTATGACATTTTCACACTTTGTCCTGAACTCAAACAGGACTTTCCTACCCCTTGAAATTTTACCCTGTTCTCTATCTTACTAAGAGAGGCAAGAAACCAGGTACCTCAATGCAATATCTGCTGCACAGCACAGATTAAAACCATGTTAAAAATACAAGTCCTAGATGCAGAGGAGTAGGAAAAGGTTTGTTGCTAAAATGCCAAAAGAGGGAAGAGTATGCAGAGAACAACAAAACACAGCAGATGTTGTTTATTCAGGTATGAAATGCAGCTGTACTTACCAGAGAAATTACTTCAGATACTACACACTTAACTCCCCAGAACTGGAGAGCAGCATTTAATCAAACTGTGAGAACATGGTGGGGTCAGGGGGCTTATTTGTACATTAAAGCTGAATGAAGGCAGTTTTTATCACTCATGATCATGGGTAACAAGTGCACTTGTTCTGCCCCAGAGAGGACAGAAGTTTTGCTGCAGGCAGAAGGTGCCTGACTCGTCATCCCCTTGAGATGGGAAAGACTCAGTCCTTGTGATATCTCCCAGATCATCTCCTGCCAAGGGTGGGGCAGAGAGGGTCACACTGCAGGCAGCTGTGCAGTTTGTTCACCTCTACACCTGGACTGGGAGCAAGGCTCTCCTTTGCAGGAGGCTACAGAGGATGGTCTGACCAATATGAAGGCAAACATTTGTGTAGGGGGGCATGGTGAGCAGCTGAAATCCCTCTACTGAAGCAAGTTTCCTTGAGATGAAAACTGTTACTTAAAGGCAACAGCAACTGGATGGGGTTTTTTTCCCCTAAAAGGTATTTTAATTTCTGCTGCAGAAGGATACCGAGTCTCATCTCACAAGAGTCATCCAGTAAAATCTCCTGCCTCTTCCTCTTTACTGATCCTAGTGTAATGTCACCCAAATAAATCCAGAAAACATCACTAAATTTGGAAAGATTTTAAAACTGAAACCCAGGAGCAAATGCTGCAATCATTTCTCTGCACACTCCAACAGCACGTGGACAGGAAACACCCAATTTGTGAATTACAGACATTCTGCAGGCACTCCCTGAGCACGAGGGGCTGTGCCAGCCTGTGCACACCAGCAGGCCTGGGAACACTCCTGGTGTTTGTGCACTCCAGAGCACACACACAGGGTGTCATCAGAATGCAAAGCAGCACATTTTGCCATGACAGACTTATTTTGGCAGAACACCAGCCAGTATGTACTGAGTACACAGCTCACAGTTCACTTTTTCCAGACAGAGAGCTGCCCCATTTCCCCATCCATCACACATCATTGGTCATCCCAGGCCTGGGATGCAAAAAAAACCTGCAAATGCTACCTAACATCCAGAATCTGCTTCCTGCACATTTCTCAAATGCTGTCACATACACAAAGCCTTAAAAGTGCATAATTTCTCCTCCAACACTGACAACTGGCCTCTGCTGACAGCAGAGCTTCCCTCAGGGCTCATCTGGGCCTTTGCCCTCATTTCACCCAATTCCAACTTCACCTGTTATTACCTGACAGCAGAGCCTTCCCTCAGGGCACATCTGGGCCTTTGCCCTCTTCACCCAATTCCAACTTCACCTGTTATTAATAAAAGCTCCAAATTTTAACTTGTAAAAAAACAAGGACATACAACAAAAAATGGCAGCACAGAAGTCATAATTTGGAAACAAATGTCATTAGCTGCTGCTCCTTTGTTAGCCCAAATAGTAAAACAAATAATGGTGTCTCCAGCAGGCTCAGGCCCAATTCATGCTCTCACTCTTGAGTCTTGAAAATGAACTTTGCAATTCCTAGTCAATAAAACTTCGTCATCAACAATGCAGTTTTCTTTTTACAACACTACATGGAAGCAAGGTCCAGGACACCCCTCTCTTACTGAAAACAGGAGCTATAAGCACCCAAATGGTGAAGTTTCTGGCAGCAGTTTTTTTTACAAAAAACCCTGCTGCCCTAACAACCTCTCAGGTGTGAGATGGAACAGAGCAGCCTGCTGGCAGCTGAGGCACACGCCTTGAGAGACCTGTCACAGGAATTCTCCCACTGATACCTAAAGATTTGTAGCTTTTTCACGTATTTGTTGCTTTGTAGGTTTCTAATATATAGTTTTATAGTTTCTAGCACCTTCTTAGCTGTTCAATAGCTAGCCCTTTTTAATACATTATGTCACACTCTTGAAATTCTATTTAGTCTTATTTTCAAGAAAAGAACAAGGTCATCTTGTTTTGCACCAGCATTTGAGAGTCAAAACAAAATACAAGGCAAAGAACCTCCTGGAGACACTCCAAGGGGCAGGCCCAAGGGTGAAACTATTGGATTTACCTGCTAACTACACTAATTAATCAACCTTATAAAAATTGTACAAATCCTATACCACAGATGCTCTTACCTATGTTTTCAGCACTTGAATGCTTTCATTAAAAACTGCTCTCTAATATATTAGCCCTTAATATTGTTTGGAAAGTTTTCTTTTGATTCCAGGCAAGCCCCCCTGTTGCCAGCCTGCTGTCTCACACCCAACCAGCCACTAACATGACTGAGCACACAGGTGAGTGGGCTCTTCATGCTGAGAATGAGACTCCCAACAGATGCTCTCTTGGCACTTACTATAACACAGTTACAGAATCTTCATTTCATTTTTCGTTTTCCTTCCCAATATGTGGATTAATAAATGAGGTAAACAGCTGTCAAAAAGCTGGCCCTATAACGCAACCAGACGTGCAGCTTACCAAAGACCAACTTATAGAAGATAAACACTGGTGTTTAACCACCTTTGGGAGTAAAGAGCAGTGTGAGGAGCTCTTCTGCTTCCATCTGGCTCAGGCAGAAATTAATACCCATTTAGAGTAGGCTGCACCTGCAGTGCAGGTGATCTACCTTCCTATGATCTACCCTGAATGCTGCTGCAGTCCATGGCAATGGAGTTCACTGAGAGTGTGAGTGCAGACCCTGTCAAATTCCAACATCTACTCACAGCCACTTTGGATACTGAAAAAATACCCCACCAACAATGCCATCTAAGCATGCCCATGATGAATATACATGTCCTTTTTCACACATTCATGCACTGGTAACATCTACTGCAGAGCTCTGTCCTGGTACAAAAGCAGCAGTGTTAGTCATTGCAGTAGGGTTAGTTTATTAAAGATTCTTTCATATCATTAATGGAGGTGAAACTTACTGGCATATCTCGGCCGCAGCCCCATGCAAGCAAGCAGAAAGCAAATATATTTAAAATGGAAGAGAGGAACTGGCTAGCAGGCAGCTACACTCACCCTTTTGTACAGCCTATGGTCCACCAGAGGGCTTTAGAGTGCAAAACAATACCAAAGAGCCATTAGACACACATGGCAACAACCGTACCTTACCCAGAGCTCCACTTCAGGGAGGAGGAGACAGCACTTCTGCTTGGCTGGAGAGAAAGAACCCTTCCCACTCCTGCCTAGGGACTCCTCTTTACCAGGGAAGGGCAGTCCTGTGTTTAGGTGCTTTAGGGCAGAAAGTTATAAGCAAGTAGAAAAAACCCAACACTGTCATTCCCGTGGCATTTCTAGCTGCATCCTGCCTTCCCTGGCAGCCATCACCTCTTTTCTACCCCACTCCAAATGCTACTCCATAGAAAACACTGCAGATCACAATTCCATCTCAGCAATGGCTTAGATATCCCCCAGAAGGGTAAAACTTTCCTACAAATCAGAAAAAGAACAGGAAATAGAGGTTACCTTCCCAGTGCAAGCTGGCTGTACCACACAGGAATTGAGCTCAGCAAATCCAAACCCATTCGGAGCTCCTGGATTTCCTTGCAGCTCTAGATGTGTCACATCTGGGGACCACTAAGTAGGTGGAGTCTTTCCAAAATTATTAACTATGCAAAGCTTTGGTTCTGCCTCAGGACAGCGAGCCTGGAGGCAGCTCAGCTCACAGGAGGTGTCAGGGGCAAGCTTTGGGCTTGGGCATGGGAAGATGGGTGAAGCTCTCCTGGGAGGCCAGGAAGTTTCTGTTTCATTCTCAATAAACAACATTTCTGTGACAGATCATGTTGATACCATGTTATGCTGATGCATGTTTTCCACCAGATTTTTGAGAATATGACAACAGATGGATAAATATGGGGAGTTTTGTTCAAAGTCAAAAGGAAGCAATACATGTCTGACGGTCAGAATGACTCCTGCTGATGAATGATCCCTTTTGTCACCATGACATTCAGCTACTAGAGCTCCAGTATCTTCTCTAAGAATATTTTCAACTAAAACTTACTGATTTTCATGTATTTTTCATGTATTTTCTGATTTCCATCAACATCTATGCATCCTCTACTAAGAGCTCCAACTGCAGAACCTCTCATTAACTCTCCCAAAACACCTGAAATACCTTCTGGTTAGGCAACAAACAGGAGATCAGATCCTCAAGGTGAGGATCAAAATCACATTTGAGATATTAAGCCTTTGTGCCAGAAAGTTATTAAACAAAATAGGACAAGATGACCATTTAAGCTGCTCTGAATGCAAACAGACAAACAGTTCTTAAAATTGGCTTAAAGTAGACTTTGATCAACTTTAAACAGGAAAAAAAACCCACCAAGCAGACAGTTGCCTGGGGAAACCCTGAATAAATCTCACTCCTTGAGAGTACTTTTTTGGCTCAGCAACAGAATTTGCTCATGGCCAAAGCCTAGGTTACACCATTCAATTTTTCAAAGGTTGAATTTCTGAACTTTAGGCATTTACTGCCTTCTCACTCAGCTCACTCTCTTACAACAGACTGCAACTGGCTTTTGCAGCCTCTTCCCCCAGATCTATCAACTAGCAGAAATCTGTTACAAGATCCTGTTTGTTTGACATTCCTGTGCATGCTCTCTTTTCTCTCACTCCTTCAGATTTTCCAAAAATAGTTGCCATTTCTATCCCTTGCACTGACAAGGCACTGTGGTTTAAAAAGTAGCTTCACAGTGCCATTTTTAAACCACAGAGCATTAGCTAACATTAGGTACTAGCTGTTATGGCTCACCCCTGGATGTTCAGGAGCTTGGATGGCTGAAGCGTTTCTTTCTGAAGACTGGGGCTTTCTTAAATTCTTGTTTATAGCAGCAGTGTGCTAATTTGGAATAATACAGGAGGAGATTGCAATGAGATTTCAACAAGCAGAAAGAGTGTGTGGGCTCAGCCCAAGCACCAGCCCCTTCCTCAGCAGCTGTACCCTGAGTGTCACATGGCAGACTGAAGGGATATAATTAGGAAGCTTACATAGAGGTGATCTGAAACTTACTTAGCATCCTAAGCTTTATTGCTCTCTCCTTAGGAAGAGGTAAGCAAGGAAAGCCAAGGAGAGAGGAACAATGTCCTTACTGAGACACAAAGAAAATTCAGAAAGCTTGAGGAAGAGCAGGTGAGAAGGAAGCAATTCCACCTGGTACCCCAGTGTACCTGCACCACAAGGCAGCTAAGAAAGAGGGTTACAGAGCCAGGTTTGGGAAGGAATGGAGGTGGGTGCCCTCACCAGGATATGGCTGTGCCAGGTAAGGGCTGGGATGTGCCCCTCAGGGAGCAAAGAAATGAACAGGTCAGTCTGAGTCAGCTGAGATACTGCAGCAAGTGAAGCTCTGTTCTATTGAATAGACGACCTGTGTAATTTCCAGGATTATATTTTCCTTTACAGTTGTTTATACAAGCAAAAGGCTTCTAATTTGTCTTCAAAATCCTGTGTGGTAATAAAGCTCTAAGAACCTGATTTGCACAGTGTTTGTCACCGACTGCAGAGAGCAGAGGCACCAGATTCCTGTGTGGGTCCAGCAGCCACAGGAGCCCGAGGGTCTGTGAGACACTAAAGGAACACAGAAGCAGCCCAAGTGTACAGAGCATGAAGTGCCCACTGTTGGAAAATGCCTTTCTGCCTGCTGGAATTTTTTAGCAAGCAGGAGGAAAATGGGGAATGAGAATCAAACCCGTCACATTTCTAAGCAGTTCTATGAATCTGCTAAATTTATGTATTTTTCAAGCAGATTCTGAATGCTGGTTTTGTTATTTTGCTAAGTCTTGCTTTCCCTTTTAGCATTTACCAATGCCACAATGCTCCTGTTCAAATCTGTCAATTACTAATAACAGTTACATTAACACAATTTTAAAATCTTATGATTGCTTGGAGAAAATACACAACCCTAACCCTGTGACCATTTCTATTGCAGAAGGTAGAACAAGGCAGTTTTGAAGCACTGTTAACATCTTCAGTGAAGGCAAGTCACTTTTTCCTTTTGTTGCATCCCAGCCAAGAGCCATGACTGAATTCCTGAGCAACCACAACGGGTAATAAACATGGACATGGGTCAGGATTGCACTGCTGCAGAAGGTCCAGCACTGCACAGGTGATGTGAGCCAGAGAATCCCCCCTGCTGCTGAATTTGTGTCTGGAACTCCCCAAGAGCTAAACCCCTCCTGCAGGGATGCCCAGAACAGCGACTGTGCTGCTGGAGAGAGGAGACTGACCCTGGGTCTGGCCTGCAAACCTCAGTGGTGCAGATGAGCGGGGTCTCTCTGCAAAGGGAAGAGGAGACACTGAGGAAGAGGAAGGCAACAAGCTGAAGTCAGGAACTGTCGGAATCGTGGGCAATTTAAGCCCTGCACAGTCTGTGTTACTCAACAGCTGGAGTCTTAACTGAGCCCTGTTTGGAGTGCATGGCACATCCTGGGTGTTGGTGGGAACCCAGGGACACAGCCAGACCAGAGGCATTCCCTGGGCCTGTGTCTGAGTTGGCTCTAAGAGCCTCTCAGGCTGACCCCAGAGACCCCATGGATGGAAACTTGGCACGTGCTTCCCCCAGGGACTGCCTGGATCTCAAGCAGATCTGAGAGGACACAGAAGTTCTGAACCTCCAGGACATGCTGCACAGCAAACACAACAAAACAACAACTTTGGTCTCTTCCTTATGCCCTGCTGAAAGAGGGAAGCCACTTCTGCCTCTTCATCAATGACTGTGGCTGTTTCAAGAGCACTTGGAATCAGCCTGGGAACTACAAAGCCCTCTTTCTTGTCCACACATGTTACTTCCCACTGAACCTGCAGGTAACATCTACTTCCACAGCATGAGCCACACTGACCTACAAAGTGAAGCTTTGAAATCCTGCAATAAGGACTGAGTCTGTTTCTTAAATCAGGAGTCTATCACATGCCTCTAAGAGCTCTCCTTGTTAAATGTCACTGGACTGAACTAAACATGCTTCAAAATGCATCAGGTGTGACCAGCTCCTGAGTGGATGAAATGCATGGGCAGTGAGGATGGAGGGGGCAGAGTCAGAAATTCAGGATTCACCACTGTCTAGGCAAAGTCCCAGTTTGCAACTTGGTCATATAGGGGATCCTTTCAGCTGAAAACCACAGCAAACACCCTGCTGGTACGGCAGTGCTGGCTGCCACAGGGGAGCACTCTGGCAAGCCTGTGCTGTTCCCACACTGCTTCATCTTCATGTCTGTGGAGTGGCTGACATGAACTAGCCTGTGCTGCTCTTCTGACACATCCCACCTACCCACACTGAAGAGAACACACACTTGAGGAGAACCAACCAAATGATTCTGTGTCCAGCTAAAGGCATTTCCAGCACACACCAGCTGTCATCACTTTTTGCACTTTCCCATGTACCATGAATGCTTTGGGCGGCACTCAGAAGCTGTAGTTATGATTTAACAAGCTTTTTTTTAGACTTCCTCAAGTCCAGCTTTTAAAGTCAAACAACCTGGGCTGTTCTACATTATAAGCAATGGAACTGTACACAATTCTCTTCCAGCAACAGTCCTAAATCAAAGATTTCATTTTTGACAGCACATCATGGACACAGCTCAGCTTTGCTCTTTGATTAAAAGATCTGTAGTCAGCTGGTTCTATTATATTTACAATGCACTCATTGCAGACACACCTGGATATTGTCACATTGCTCTAAGGAAGGGCAGATACCAAAAGATAGTGTCATACCTGTGGCGGCAGCGTCGTAAAAACCGCATAATCTTGCGAGCAGCTTGATCCTGCTTCTTGGTAAGCAGACTGCTTCTAAACACAAAAAACCCCAACACTGAAGTGCAGGCAAAACTGGGGAGAATACTACTAAATGCAAGAATAATTATCCTACGAACCACAGTCCTTTTCCCACTGGCCTTTGTCTGTGAAGCACAGCACAGCCTTGAAGAGCATAAAAACCATAAATGAAGATCCCAAGAGCACCAGCAGCCTGGGCTCACCTGAGTTTCTGCTGCACGATGGTGGCTGCCCGGCGGTTTTGCCTCCTCTTGCCACACTCCTTGTAGCTGCGGTAGTACTGCTGGATCAGCATCGCGGCTCGCCGGCTCTGCTGGAATTTTTTCTGCTCATAGTAACTTCGGAATTTGCTCTGGATAAGAATGGCAGCTTGCGTCATCTTTTTATAAAGTGCATACTACAACAGAAACAAAGAGAAGCTGAGGCATCCCAGTAGGACCAGTAAGAAGCAGGTTCTTACAGTGAAAGACTCCTGAGCCACTAAGATGTGATGAGAAGTAAATGAAGTCTCTATTCCCTGACTGGGAATGGTGTAAGAAAATGGTGACAGCAAACTGGAACAACTGTAAGATTAGGGGCAGAACTTAGCAGTTTTCTTGATGCAGGCTATCTGTTTTTCTGCCTGTGGAATAGTTTGACTGGATTAATAGAATCATAAAATAGTTTGCATTGGCAGGAATTTTTAAAGGTCATCTAGTCCAACCCCCCCAGCATGAAGAGGGACATCTCAAGGAGATGAGGCTGCTCAGAGCCCCATCCAGACTGCTCTTGAATGTTTCCAGCGATAGGGCATCTGCCACATCTCTGGGCAATCTGTGCCAGTGACTCACCAGCCCCATTATAAAATCTTCCTTGTATCTAATCTGAATTCACTCTATTTTAGTCTGAAACCATTACCACTTGTCCTATTGCAACAAAAGTCTGTCCCCATCTTTCTTAAAAACCAAACCCTAACAAACCCCCAAAACCACAATAGTTGTAAGTCTAATACTGAGCCTAAGACACAGGCAAAATGAAATCTCATTAGAAATCTGTAACAAGCATCCAATGAACTCACAAATTTGCATGAGCAGTCACACACTTCCCAAATTCCATCTAGCACTGTATTATTTCTAGTCCTGTGATTCCCAGTAAAGCAGGTGTACACTCTTAAAAATCAGATCTTTATTCTACATCCTTTTCCTCTGACAGCATGCAAGGTGATGATCAATTAACAGAAACCATGTGCATTCATGAATATTTTAAGTCCTTTCTAAGATGGAAATACAGAATAACGTATAGAAATTGCATTTATACTAGTATAACAGAGGTTTTCAGCGTCTGCTGATCTCATTTTGCTAAGCTGTAATAGTTTTAATACTTTCAAAACTGATGTGTCTATTGTTCCTGGATATTTTATCAGCTTTCTGCTCACTTTATCAGACAGATGAGTAGCAGCTACTGCCCCATACAGGGTAGTGTCCTAACATTTCTCAGTATTTTCCACTCTACTGGGAACAAAAACCCCAAAAGCAAACAAACAACTCACCCAACATAACCCCAAAGCAAAAGATCCTCCAATATCATCACAGACCACCATTTACCAAATTTCACTTTTTGGAATTGAAGCAGTCATTAGGAGCAGTTATATTTTACCATTATTAATTTCTATTGTTTTTTTTGTTTCCTTCTTTTTTTTAACATTTTTAAATTAATGGATCAGATTGTGATTTTAAATTTGTTGTTTTAAACAAGTCCACTCATGAGCTAGTAATGGTTTTCCTTCAAAGTTTTAGCCCAGATGGGACTTCTGTGGCTGAGTTACAAACCCCTGAACAGAAGGGTTCAAATACAAAACCATGCCATGAGCTGTGACTGTTCCAATCCAGTCACAAACCTTCTCTGATCAGTGCAGTAACAGATCAGAGGAATAAGGCATGTGAAAGAGAAATTAGCAGTCACTGCACAGACCAGACCCCACTGTGTCTGTATGCAGCTCTAAGACCTGAGTGGCTGCAGCCTGTCCTCCTCTTGTTCCTTTCTTATTTCTGGAAAGGGGATCAAGCGGAGATGTCACCTGAACTCCTCCCCAAAGAGGAAAGCCTTGGTGAGCTCAGTGTCCCAGAGCTCAGCCCACCTGCAGTGACAGAACAGTTCCCAGCCTGAAAACCCAAAACCACAGGGCAGGGGGAAGCTGTGGATGGAATATCACCCCAAGGACACATTCTCTCCAGGAAAAGCACACCTTGCCTCCCGATAGCCCTGAGAAAAGCTCAGCTAATTCTAGAATCTGATGAGATCAAGATGTTGCACAGCTGGGAAACCCATCTTTCCAGCAGAGAATTACTGACTGTGAACAGTTCAAGAGTGGCACCAACAGTTGTGCCTCCAGCATGAGCAGCAACGTACTGAGATGTTGGTCTTAGGAACTCAGCACACAGGTATTTCAAAGATGAACATACTTCAAAGTCAAAACACTTCAGCAGGCAAGCAGAATGCAGAGGACATTGGCTCACAGGTGGGATAAATGTTCTGTGCTCCCCAAATGCCAAGGCAAAGGTCACCAAGTGACAGCTGATCAGAAGCATTAAAGCCAGTCCTCTGGAAACTGGCTGCAAAACCCTCCCAGCAGCTCAGCCCATCCCTGCTCATGGGAGCTGAGGCAACTGTGGCACAGCAGTCCCTACACAACTCCCAGAAGGTCTGGTTTGTCACTGATTTCTCAACCACAGGCATTTATTAGTGGATACTACTAAAACGTTTCTCCAAAATGCCAGTTCTCCTTGTTCATACTGAGTGTGAAAATTAGTGACCCGTAGGGAACTGTTTCCAAAATAGTGTTTGTATTTGTATTACCTTCAAGGCTATCCAAGTAAGCTTGGGAAGAAACAGAAAAATACAGAGTTAATGTTAGTTCTGCAAATAAAGAATGCAAAACAAAACAAAAGACCCAAACAATCTTCTTTCAAAAAGAAGCGATTCCAGGATCCAAGGCAAAGCAGTTTTCAAGCAATTTTTGAATGGAATTGAGCTTCCCTACTACAGGAAGCATCACTCCAGAATGAAAGCCATGTGATGGGTTGGATGTGAACCACAATGCAGTCACCTAACACTAGAAAGACTTCCCAAATAAATGTTTTTGAGGGTTGTAAAAGAGCATGGATGCCTTGCCTCACTTTCTGTTACCATGCTGCCAGGCATTAGACAGACTGTGTCTAGCTGGGTAAAGTGTGAAGAGGAATGTGGGCTCTAGTCCTCACCAAAAAAACCCCAAAACCAAACAAAAAAAAAAACCCAAAATGAAACAAAACAAAAAAAATCCAAACCAACCAAATGAAAGACCACCAAAAAACAACAACAACAAAAACCTAACCAAAAATAAAAGGAAAGGTATCTTCTTTTTCTGGGGTTGAGAACTCAGCCTGAAAACATGTCTCCAACCAGAGTCTGGAGAACAGTCTCAGTCCTGGAAAAACTTGCATCAACCTATAACATGTGACTTCCCATAGTTTAGAAGTTTAGTATGTGGAAAATAAAACAACCTATTTTTCATCTTCACCTTAATCAAAGGCAAAACCAACTTCAATTTCACAATGAAATTTGGCAAGCAACTAGTTAGAGAATCCTCAGGCTGTAGCATGCATAAAGGCCAATATGGAATACATCACAGCCCTCCATCTCACAGCAAAACCACAGGCATTATCACAAACTAATTGCAGGGATTCCCTCCAAAACTAAGATTCAGAACACAAATCTTCTTCCCTTTTCAATTTTGCCTGAGCAAGGTATTTCACTACTGCATGCTGAAAAGCACAGGAGAGGAACAGTGGGACAATGCCCACTACAACAGGCTGCATTCATGGCACTCACATGTGCTTCATGAAATTTCACTTTCTTGATTACCTGTTTGTACTTTCGGTAGCAACGCTGAATAACAGCAGCAGCCACCTCCTGCTGTTCCCGGAGAGGACGACCCTGTGTGGACAAAGGAAGGAGCAGCATCAGGCAGCGTGCACCCAAACCCAGGACAGGTGACCTGGCTCTCAGCTGCTTGCAGGGCAAACCTCTCCTGTCAATGCTGCCTGGTCCAACTCAGGCCTAGGCATTTCCTGGAGATGCCTCTGCTGTCAACTCACAAAAGGAACAAACCTTCAAAATGCATCTTTATACCAAATGGGCAACTAAGCAGAACCTCTGGGGAACATTTTGAGGATGTGCTTTGTGAGTGCTGCATGGCACGGCATGCACTTCCTATACAGTACTTGTTGGGCAAACATCAACAAGCACATGTCAGAAGCATTGAAAAGGTTATGATAGAAACTATATTTTTGTCCCTGGAGTGTATATTACCCACATTTCAGTCTGTAACAAATTATACTCTCGCTCACACACCCATTAAGGAAGACACTGGACATTTGAGCCACATACCTTGTATTTCCTGAATACTGTCTGGACGAGTTTGGCAGCTTCATAGAGTTCTCTCTGCTCATGATCAGACAGAGTTAACTGTGCAAACTCATTTTCTACCTTCTCGCTGGTGGATGCACTCAGAAATTCAGACCAGTCTGCTGCCGAGGGAAGGCTGGGTTTCTCAAAAGCTATTTCACTGATTGGTGAGCCTGCAGGGCTCAAGCTGGTGTTCGAAGAAGGGGTCAGGGGTTCACTATACAGACTTCTGAAATACCAATCACAGTAGGAATTATTGGCTTACAAAGCACTTGGGCTGGCATCACAGATAAGGACAACAACACTTCTGAGTTCAAGAGAGAAGTTTATGCTCCTGTCTCTCACTGCAAGCAACATCCCACACCCCTGAGCCTGCCTGTCCTGCACTGCACAGATGTGGTGCTGGAGTGAAAACCCCATTCCATGAATTTGTGGCTGTGCTGGAAACAATACATCTGAGCACAAGAGTGTGCCTGGGACAGCAAGACCAGAACTGAGTCTCACTGAGAACTGGCACCTGCAGGCTGAAGAGTCAGAACATGCTGCCCAGCACTCACACCACACCAAAACCCAGAGCAACTTCACAGCTCTCACTGACCTGATCTGTGCAGCACTGGGCAAGTGATCGACATCAGCAAGGTAACTGGCCAGCCAGCTCATGGTGGTGCTCATGGCAGCACTGTCTGTCCTCTCCACCAGCAGCGACTCCATTGGCACAAAATTCTCTCGCTTGATCCTGTCAGGCGTAGCTTCAATAATGTGCTCTGCAAGTGTCATCATGTTCACCTGCCAAGGGGGAATCAACAGCAAACTTTAGCTGCCTGGAAAAAGGTGCCTTGTGCTTCCACGTTACAGCCCAGCTTTAGACAGAATTCCCCATTTTGCCCAAGCCTGTGTAAGGTGGAGTCTACTGTTTGTTTCAACAGTGGAGTGAAACCCATTAACAAGTGCTCATTTGATTTTCTGATTCTTCAGACCAAGCATGGCAGGGTTTCATATTCCCTGGACCTCTTTTTTCCCTTTATGGGGAGCCCAAGAGATCTGGAGAAAGGTATCTGGGCCTTCCCTCTACAGCTGTCACTAGTATGTTATTTCCAAAGGAAAAGTGACTTGGCCACTCTTTTGCTGAGACGTGCAGTAGAGCACGACAGGACAATAAAGGTACATCAAGAGAAGTTAAAAATCTTGGGACAAAACATTGTCAGGAATCCTTCTGAATGGTATACCACAGAGCTCAGCAAGTTTCACAGGAATTTTCAACTCAGGGAACAGAAAACTCTTCTTGTTTTGCAGTGGTCTGCTTCACCCATGTTACACCAGCCAGAGAACATTCAGAGATGCCAAGGCAGAACAGGTAAGGCTGTGTTCCCATTACCCATTTGCTCAGACAACCACTGTATCTTTTTCAGAGTAATAACTTTTCATATGTCTCTCTTGCTTCTGTTATATTTTTATTTCTTCTATTCCATACCTAGTGGGATTCTTCCTTCCCCAAAGCCACTGTCTCTTCCATTCTCCACTCTTTCCTACCTCCTTCCCTCTGAAGTGCAGAGGCCTGGCCTGCAACCACAGCACTACCTCTCTCACACTGTTTTTGCAGGGACTGCTGCCCAGTTCCCACAGGACTATTGGGCCACCTGAGTCACATGCACTGCTGTGATCAGGCTCTGCTTTTTCCTTTTTCCTTGCACAACTGCAAACAATTCTGTGCATTCTGTATGCTGTTGAAGTGTACAACCCTAAATGCTAACCATTAGCCTTTATATCTGCATTGAAATTGGAAGAAAGGGTCACACACTGACTGTGTGACCACCTCCTTCCCCAAAGCACAATTCAGAGTCTCTAGAGGCCTCCATGGGAGTTTTTCATGGTCAGGATCCTCTGTGCAGGATCCTGATCTTGGTGCTGTGGGTGTGTTTACCTGCAGCTCATCCATGTGGTGTAAACAGTCCTCATCCCCTGCGCTGTCCCTGTAGGACAAGAGTTCTGCATCCACCATCTCCCTGTCGGCCATCATCAACACATTCATCTGCTCCCGCTGGCGGAGCCGATGGGCCACAGCCTCCTTCCCCAGGGCAGTGCCCTTCTGGCTCCCTGCCACCTGCACTGCAGACACACCAATATAAATGTCTTTTGGGTTCCATTTGATGCCTGCTTGGCTGCCAGAGCCCCGGTACCCAGTAACTTCTGGGATGTGCTGGGAGAGCTCCCGGCCATAGTCCCTCAGCCCTTCAGTGGGGCTGATTGTCTCAGTGGAGGATTGCTTGGAGCTGGAGTTCTGCTTCCTAATGCTTGGCTGTTCCAGGCTCAGTGCAGTGGAAAGCAGCTTCTCTTGCCGGGCTTGAAAATACTCAGGGCTCAGCTTATGCTTTTTGGGTGCAGGGTAATCTTTCTGAGTCTCACTGCTGTAATAGCTGGAAGGTTCTGATCTTGGCCGCCTCAGCTCTGTAAACAAACAGATCAATGGTCAAAACGAAACATGCAGCTCACAACTGCTACAGGAACATCAACAGCTTCTGCCTCAGGCCAAAGTTTGGGCTGTGGACACGTGACAGGATGTGCAAAGGGAGTAACAACCACCCAGGGAGGATACTGTCTCAACCACACCTAAGATACACAAGTCTTTCCAAAGCAGGCATTCACTCCTCTTCCTGATGCTTATGGCAAGTGTACTTAGCACAAGAAAAGAATTAAGTATGGACAGCAAGGCTACAGGTGGAACCTGCTGCCCAGGTGAGCTCCTCGCCCCCACATTTTCACATGTTAAATGTCAGCAAAGCAGAGCACACCCTCCAGGACGCTTTACCTGTGTTTGTACTGGAAATCACTGTGACTCCCTTCTGAGGCTCCTGAGAGGCAACAAGCTCACTGTGCCACTGGGACACCCAGCTCTCTGTGTTGGAGTCTGTGCTCGAGGGGCACTGAATCCTGGGGTTTTGCCCAAGTTGAGTTTGCTCATCTCGCTGTAGCTGCTCCAAGCACTCTGCCAACTTCACGTGGCCCCGAGAGCGAGCGATGGCCAGCGGCAATCTCCCGAGGGAGTCCGGAATGGAGATGGCTCGGCGGTCCCACTTGTACAGCACAACAGCTGCATCCATGTGGCCCAGGGCACAGGCCCACATCTAAAGAAGAAAAGGTAACTGACCCACTGGGAGACCTGCCTTCTCCTTTTTTGTTAATGCAGTGGAATCTGCTCCCAGCTCAAGGAAAATCTCTTCTGATAAACAAAACCATGATATGCTCAAGGCAAACAGATCACATTTATAAATGTCCTAACCCAAGAAAACCATCCCAACCCAACATAGGGGACTGAATACATGCTATTCTCTCCTACAACAGAGAAACCTCCAACTGACAAACAAAGCTGAAAGTTTGGTTTCTTCTGTTTTCGGGTTTTTTAGTGACATTGACATCACTGCAGAGACAGAACAGCTTCATACACAAAGGAATCTCTGACGTCAGAAATATGCAGACAGGACCAAAGGTTGGAAACCATAAAATCAATACATTGTGAGTGGTAAACTGGCAGTTCTGGCTCCATCTGTTTTGGCTTTTTGCTTGTCTAAGTCCTCAGTCATGATTTTATGACTCCAGTGACCAAGACAGTTTATAACTTTACAACATTTACAGTTAAACAGTCACAGAGGACAATGAGAAAGAAGGCATGTAATGTCCTTTTCACACCATGATAGTGGAGACTAGATTCTGTGGGGACTAGACACTAACCAGAACTATCTGTCTGTCCCCTTTCCTCATGTTTCTCAATGACAAACTTTTGTTCTATCTGCTCTCTCTCAACAAAATGCCAGGAAGCTGACAGTACCATATCTTACCATGTATGCAGCAGGAACATGCACTCTCCAGAGAGTGAAACACTTTAGGAAAATGACACATCGGAAACAACTCCCCAAAGACTCAGAAGTTTCAGACCCTGCTCTTACCAGAGGAGTGCAGGAGAAATGATCCACATTCAAAGGGTCAACTTCCAGCTCCAGATCAATGCTGTCTGCATGTTTGGTGCTGCAGGGGAAACAAGAGAAGGAATGATGCTCTGTAACCATGTCAGGACCATTGTCTAAGCACAGATTTATCCAAAGCACTGTACCACAGAGAAGAGGCCACACACATGCCCACAACACAGGTATTTACTACAGACAGTGCCCCCACTACAGACATGAAGAGCTTGATACATCCAGCAGCTGGACTCGCTCTCAAGAGACAGGTCCCATCAGATCAGGGCATGGGAGCAAGTCCAGGGACTTGGCTCTTTGTACAAGCAGTGTGGACTGAGCAGAGTTTATACATGCTCCTGCCAAGCCTGTGCTGACAGCCCAGAGTCCAGCAGGCTGGGTCTTACCGCCACTTGATGAGGGTCTGGATGAGAGTAGCATAGCCCTGGGCAGCAGCCAGATGGAGCAGTGTCATTCCTCGGAAAGTCTTCGAGTGGATCAAGTGTTTGGACTTTGCCCAGCACGCACGACTCATCATCTTCTCACACACCACCACCACGCGGCTCTCAAAGCAGCTGCCCAGGGTCCCAGTCCCAGAAACGCACTGAAACACCACACACATCCCAGTTTAACCATGGAGAGGGGCTGCAGCTTGCCCTGAACGGGCAGCCTTCCACTTCTACAAGTCCTGACACAGTGGCAAATGCGACCGAAAACCAGCTACTGTTAGACACCCACAAACACCTTTCCAAACTCCTTTCCAAACCCCACCCCACAAAAAAAAAAACCTTTGGTAAGAAAGCATAAAGCTGTGTCTGGACAGAAGGGTTCATACCTGCACCTGTGTTCCACTGTTCCCATTGCCATTGCTCCCGCCTCCTACTCCTTGTTTGTGTTGCTGGGAGCCTGTCATTTCAGCCATTCTCCTCTCCATCTGCTCAAGTCGTTCCAATATGGACATCCTGAACTGGTTATCTGGGTGGGAGAAAGCCAGAATAAGGACATTTCCATGGAAATGAAGCTCAGGTTTTGACAGCCAACTACGGAAGTCACGAACAGCTATTCTGGAAGTGATAGAGGAGATCTGCTCTGCTTGGAAATGCACACACACTTGCTCTTCATCCTAGCTCTTCAACTTCCTGCAGCAACCCTTTGACTGCAATTCCAGAGAACTTCCTTACAGAAAACAGACAGTAAAATGAAAAAAAGCAGGCAGAAGACAAATCCCTTTCCCTGTGAGTCCAGCTTTAGGCACACAATACTAGGGGTAACGCAAAGTCTTTCAAAACACAAACTAAGTAAATACACCCATTCACTGAGCATTTCAATAAGATCACATCTGGCATTTTAGAGTCACCCCTCTACTTTACAAGAGTCCTGAATTCACCTTGGCCTGTATCCTGGAATCATGCAGTAATGGTACCTGAAAGAAAAAGACTCCTCTGCTTCCCTCTGTTCTTAGGAAAAGGAGCCTTTAACATGGCACTTGCTCCTTCCCTGGCAGGCTCCCTTTCTTGGAAAGCAGCTGCAGCCAAGTGCCAGAAACAGAACTACCAGAATTTGTCATATGGGCACTGACAATCCACTCTGGAAAGCCGTGCAACTCTGGAGCCCTCTGGTCCCTGCAGAAGTCTCAGGGCTGTGTTACTGATTGTCCCCTCACTGCATTTTAACACAGCACTATCCTACAGCTACTAAGGCTTGAATGGTGGAGCAGGGAGGCTCAGACAGATTAATGGATCACTGCTGAACCCAGTCCTGTAGGGATCAGCTGAGGCAATGCTTCTCTGGATAGGGCCAGTCAGTGCAGAGGAAATGGCTGCAAAAGCAAAGCTCCTTCTGTCCTGTGACCCATAAGGGATAAGTTTCATGCAGCTCATGAGAAGCTGGGCAGGACTGTTTTGTGCATAGGGAGCATTTAATGAATCCTGGTATCATGCTAAGAGCATAGGTAGTAAACTGTAAGGGAGAGACAGCCCTCATACTGTTCTGTTCCATGCATCCATAGAGATGGTGTGGTGGTGCAGAACACTCATAAACCCAGAACCAATCCCAGTGACAGCAAAAGGAGTATGTGCACCAAAATAGACAAGCTCTGATGAAGTTTTAAACATGTCAATCTTCTTCAAGAACACAGAGCCCTCCCTGGAAGGCTGTAGGAGTACTCATATGCTACACTCTGAGGCACAGCTCTCAGCAGAAGGTATTGGAGAGATGTGGATCTCTGCTGTACTGCACTAAGGACAATATTACAGACCAGTGGTTCAAGACAGCTCAGCTCCACTGGCTGGAGACATCCCCTTCTCAGCAAGAGGCTGCTGTGGTCTGACAGCAGGCAAGAGCTCCACTCCCTTCTGGCCAGCTTCAGCATCCCCCTCTGGCTGCTCAAGAGCCAGGGACAAAGGACTGTGGCCAGCACCTCCCATCTAACCTCATGTCAGAGGTGAACTCACAAGTCCAAAAGATTTATTATTAGTGCCTCGCTAATCCTTCATTTGTCCTGTTAATTGCAAAGCCCTGGGAAAGGGCTGGCAGCTGTATCACCACACACTGATGGTGCTGATGAGCTGTCAGGGCCCTGTCCCTCAGCTGCGGTCAGCACACGGCAGCACCAGCAGCCCTGTTTGCCCAGCAGATCTTTGTTCCAGGAGTGCTGCAGTGTGCTGCAGTGCAGTCCACACCGCTGTCTCCTCCCTCCCCATTGCCAGGCAGAGCACGTCCACTGCAGAGCCTGGCAGAGACCTGGCCCTGCTGAGCGTCCCCTCCCTGTGCCAGCGCAGCTGCGACAGCCCGGGCACCTGGAAAAGGCCACGCTTGCCCTGCAGGGAACAGCTCTGCCCACACAGGTAATGCCACCCTCCCTGGCTGGCTACCAGCACCTGCATTTATTAGAGCTGAGAGCAGCAAGCCACACTGGGTATCACGTCTGAGCCCTCAGCCTTGTGCAGGCACAAGCAGCATCTTTTTAAAAGAAGAAATTTGGCTTGAACCGGAGTAATAAACCAACAAGCTCAGGGCTGCCAGATTGTGGGATTTGCTCCTACTCATTTAGGGATCCAGAGAGAATAATTCTGTACACCTTGGAAACCAAAGAAGAAAATAATGCCAGTGAAACACAGAAGTACAGATTACTATTTTCTCCCCATTTTTTTTCAATCTAAAAGCACTCTGCAACAGAAATGGAGGGCCCTATGTTTGTGACTGTTTTCCAGGCTCTTCTCTCTGGGCTTTATGATCTGTAATGAGTGAAGCCTCCACCTTTCCTGATCCCAAAGATACTGAGAACTTCCTGTCAGTTTTTGTCAGAAGACTGAAGTTACCGAAGGTACACCTGTCACCCACCAACGTCCCCAGACACTAAACAAAACACTACACCAAAGAAATGAAAGCAGGGAGTTTTTCTTAGGAAACAGAATTCAGAACATCTGGTGTTCCCAGGTATTCCTATTCAGACACCTGGCAGTGCTCCTGGAAAATACTAAGGGCAGGACTAACTGGTTCTGACCAGATCAGGCGTTTTAGAAATATGCTGCTACTGGTAAAATGGGAAGTAAAAACAAACATTCTGGAGCACCAGCACAGCATGGCCAGAGCCAGAGCCCTCCCTGTGTCTAGAAGAGACACCCAGAATTTACCCAGATCAGGGTGTGCCCCAAATGAGAAAGCTCCAGGCAGCAAATGAGGTAAGTGGGGCAGCAGTGCAGGGAAGGTGCCCCCATGCTGCCCATTTTCCAGGTGACCAAAACTGGTGCCTAAGCAAGCCACAACTGATGACAACTCCAAAATTATTTATGTATAGGTGTTTCCATTATTTTGTAGTATCAATTACACCAAGATGCCCCTTTCAAAAGGAACCCTGGTCATTTGAAGTGCATGCACTGCACTAGCTTACCAAAAAAAAACCAAACAAAACAAACTAACAAACTGAAAACAACAACAAAAACACTACAACAACAAAAGCCCAAACTAAAAAACCCCAAACCAAAACACAAAAAAAGGGAAAAAAAAAAGGGGGGGGGCAGGGAGGGAGTGGGAGAGAGAACACCTTCCCTCAAGGTTTCTCCTGAACTCAGCAATGAGGCAGAATGCTCCTTTCCCAGGCCAGCCCTGAACACACACCAGATTAGCAGCATTTTGGACCATGTCCAGCTGTTTCACACACTGCCAACAGATGCACCTTGCAATACCTGAGAGAAGGGCTAAACAACCACAGGGCTGAACATTACAGCTAGCACTCTGAGACGTTCAAGACCTTTTATCCTGTGTTATTTCTCATTTTTCTCTCTTCCTCACTTCAGGGGGTCTCTGCAGGGCCACCTGCTTAACAGACACTGAATTACAGGAACAGTTTCCACATTCTTGTCTTTTCCAGCCAGCAGAAGATCTCATGACAAAAAGTCTCTTGCAGGGCACTGAAGAGAGCATAAAGATCACTGTCCAAATAAGCTTTTCTCCTGCTACATTGTACAGGAAATCTAAACAGCCAGAGCCCAAGGAAATGTCTTGCACTGGAAGCATTCTCACTCTGTCCAAAGGCAACAAAGATCCACATGGATATAAACATATTCATATATTTAAGATTTTCCCAAAAATTCTGCATTTGATGATAGAATTTAAAATATTTTAAAGAGCTAAAAAGATAGACATGCAAATATGAGCATTTATTGAGCTTTTCCACTACATATCAATCTAAGAAAATTTTTTATGTTCTTTAGGAAACTACAGTGAGTGCTTCTCAAGGTATTCTTCAAGGCTTCCTCCACCAAAGGTGATGAAAATAACCACATTTCTGTATCTCCAAGAGACAGAATAATTTCACAGAAAATATTCTGAACACTGTATCTTTCATAGAAATTATCTTCTTCAAATTCAACAATATCAATGTAACACCAAAATTACTTCTCACTGTCTTCCCCCTACCATAACAAGGAGAGGTGGAGGCTACCTCAGGGGAGCTCAACTGTCCCAACAGGGAGGGACAGGGAGGAGCTGCCTGGTCAGATTTTGACCAGTACTAAACAACTGGTTTGAATTTCATAATCATTTCCCTAAAACATGACCCATCTTTCAAATGCAGAAAAAGCTTCATTTTCATCTGCATTGTGAGAGAGCCTATTACTGATCACACCAATGACAGCAGGTTATGCACTGAAACCATCTAAAGATGCAGAACAATTCTGGTACAAATCCTCTAAGGACACATGGTTGTTTACATCAGCCAGCATCTTACAGAGTTACAGCCTGTATGCTTGCACAGTTACACAAAGACAACCTGGATATTGTTTAACATTGCCTTTTCTTTTTTTATTTTTTTCCCCCAGAGGTTTAATCCGGTGGTGTTTTCTTAACCCAGATCCCTTCATAATGAATTAAAAGCACACCTGTACCAACAGCTCAATAAGCAACCACAGCAGGCACAGAGAGTGGAAAACGCAGGGAGCACAGGAGTTAGTTTGATCTCCAAGATTCTGGAAGCCACACCTCCATTTTCTCCCTCAGTGCTCTCCAATAAACGCTGAATTTTCTCAGTAAGAATCTGAACAGATGCCAGCCATTTACGTGACACAAGTTCTCAGTGGAGGCTGCAGAAGCACGTGCCTCGTGCAGCCTGGTAACAGCTCCTGACTGCACAGACCCTGTACTGACAGGGGGGCTAGAACACAGCACTGCAAGCACTTCACACCACAGCCCCTCCCTGCACAGCCCTCCCCGCTGCCTCTTCCAACAGCAGGATTTCTGGTTTTGAGCTGTGCACGCAGTGTCCCCCACGGGCAGGCACAGCTCAGAGCACTGCCTCTGCCCACACTTTATTACAACAGGTAGTAAAGGCACACCTTCATCAAACACCAGTTCTGCTCTTTGTGTGGTACCCAAAACACCACCACGGCCCAGGGCATGGAGCTAAGAGAAGAGCAAGGCACAGCAGCAAGTGACAAGCCCTCCTCTGCTTAACAGGCCAATTTTAAGAAATGAGC